TCTAATTGCTCTGGCCAGTGTTTTGAGAACTATATTGAACAGAAGTGGTGATAGAGGGCATCCCTGTCTTGTTCCAGATTTTAGAGGGAATGCCTTCAACTTTTCTCCATTCAGAATGATGCTAGCCTGAGGCTTAGCATAGATAGCTTTTACAATGTTGAGGTAAGTTCCTGTTATCCCTAGTTTTTCTAATGTTTTGAACATAAAGGGATGCTGTACTTTGTTGAATGCTTTTTCTGCATCTATCAAGATGATCATATGGTTCTTATCTTTAAGTCTATTGATGTGGTGAATAACATTTATTGATTTCTGTATATTGAACCATCCTTGCATCCCAGAAATGAATCCTACTTGATCATGGTGCACAATTTTTGTGATGTGTTTTTGTATCCAATTCACCAGAATTTTATTGAGGATTTTTGCATCTAGGTTCATTAGAGATATTGGTCTGTAGTTTTCTTTCTTTGAGGTGTCTTTGTCTGGTTTCAGAATCAGGGTGTTGTTGGCCTCATAGAATGAATTTGGCAGAGCTCCCTCTTTTTCTATTTCCTGAAATAACTTGAAAAGTATTGGTATTAATTCTTCTTTAAAGGTTTTGTAAAACTCCGCTGTATACCCATCTGGTCCTGGCCTTTTCTTGGTTGGTAGTCTTTTATTGCTTCTTCTATTTCATCCATTGATATTGGTCTGTTCAAATTGTGTGTATCCTCCTGACTCAGTGTGGGCAAATCATATGACTTAAGAAATTTATCAATGTCTTCACCATCTTCAATTTTATTGGAATATAGGGTTTCAAAATAATTTCTAATTGTCTTCAGTATTTCTGTAGCATCTATTGTGATATTGCCTTTTTCATCCCATATGTTAGTAATTTGAGTTCTCTCTCTTCTTCTCTTTGTTAGCATGGCTAAGGGTATGTAGATCTTATTTATTTTTTCGAAGAACCAACTTTTAGTTTTGTCAATAGTTTCTTTTGTTTCCATTTCATTTATTTCCGCTCTGATTTTAATTATTTCTTGCCTTCTGCTACATTTGCTATTGTTTTGCTCTTCCTTTTCTAGGGCTTTGAGATGAAGTGTGAGCTCATTTATTTGTTTTTTTTTTTCCTTTTTTTGAGGAATGACCTCCAGGCAATGAATTTCCCTCTTAAAACTGCTTTCATTGTGTCCCATAGATTCCGATATGTTATGTCTATATTTTCATTTATCTCTAAGAATTTTTTGATTTCCTCCTTTATGTCTTCTGTAACCCACTGATCATTCAGTAACATATTGTTCATTTTCCATGTTATGTAGGATTTTTCTTTCCTTCTTTTATCATTGATTTCCAGTTTCATTCCATTATGATCAGATAAAATGCATGGTATTATCTCCACCCCTTTATATTTACTGAGGGTTGCCCTATGGCATAATATATGGTTTATTTTTGAGAAGGATCCATGTGCTACTGAGAAAAAAGTATATCCACTTGATGATGGTTGATATATTCTATATATGTCAGTTAAGTCTAGGTTATTGATTGTCATATTGAGTTCTATAGTTTCTTTATTCAACTTTTGTTTGGAGGATCTGTCCAATGGTGAGAGAAGTGTGTTGAAGTCACCCGTAATTATTGTGTTGTGGTCTATTTGATTCTTGAACTTGAGGACAGTTTGTTTTATGAATGTCACAGCACCCTTTTTTGGTGCATAAGTATTGATAATTGTTATGTCTTGTTGGTGAATGGTTCCTTTTAACAGTATATAATGTCCTTCTTTACCCCTTTTGATTAACTTAGTCTTGCAGTTGATTTTATTCAGTATGAGGATGGCCACCCCTGCTTTCTTACGAGGAATGTGTTCGTGGTATATTTTTTCCCAACCTTTCACCTTCAGCCTGTGTATGTCTTTTCCAATCAGATGTGTCTCCTGGAGGCAGCATATTGTTGGATTTATTTTTTTTAATCCCTGTTACCAACCTATGTTGCTTTATTGGAGAGTTTAAGCCATTAACATTTAGAGTTACTATTGATATATGGTTTGAACTTCCAGCCATGTTTGATTATTTATCTGTTTTTTTTTTTTTTTTTTTTAATTTGGTTTGTTTCTCCATGATTAGCCCCACCCCCGCCCTCTGGCTTTACTGAGGTACTTCTCACTGTTGGTTTTGTTTATTGTTTTTCATTTCTTCCACATGTAGTGTTTTGCTCAAGATGCTTTGTAATGCTGGTTTTCTGGCTGCAAATACTTTTAACTTTTGTTTTTCATGAAAGATTTTTATTTCATTGTCGTACCTGAAGCTTAATTTTGCTGGATACAAAATTCTTGGTTGGCATCCACTGTCTTTCAGTGTTTGAAATATGTTGTTCCAGGATCTTCTCGCTTTCAGCGTCTGTGATGAAAAATCCGTTGTTAACCTTATTGGTTTACCCCTGAATGTAATCTGCCTCCTTTCTCTTGTAGCTTTTAATATTTTCTCTTTGTTCTGTATATTGATTGTATATCTTCATAACAATGTGTCTTGGTGTTGGTCTACTGTGATTTTGTATGCCCGGTGTCCTGAATGCATCTACAATTTGTACATCCATTTCCTTTTTTATTTCTGGAAAGTTTTCTATAATTATTTCATTCAGCAGGTTGCTCATTCCCTTGGTTTGAACCTCTATACCTTCCTCTATCCTGATGAGTCTTAAGTTTGATTTTTTTTTATGTTATCCCATATCTCTTGGATGTTTTTCTCGTGATTTTTTAGCAGCCTTTCTGAGTTGGCTAGACTCTTTTCAAGATGATATATTTTGTCTTCATTATCTGACCTTCTGGCTTCTACTTGCTCCACTCTGTTAGTGATACTCTCATTTGAGTTTTTAATTTGGTTTATAGTTTCCTTCATTTCTAGAATTATTGTTTGATTTGTTAAATAATCTCTATCTCCTGATAAAGATGCTTATTTGCTTCTTTTATCTGTTTGTGTAATTCATTTTCATTGTGTTCTTTCATTTGTTGAATTTGCTGTCTTATATCCTCTTTAAGATTCCATTCCATCCATCTAAGGTATTCTTTGAGTTCTTTATTTGACCATTTTTCTGATGCCTCTAGGTCCTCCTGAATATGTAGGCTGTCCTGCATTGTTTGTACTCCTTTTCTTCCTTGCTTTTTCATGCTGCTCATGTTACTTCTTGTTCTGTTTGACTGTTGAGTTACTGTTTACTCCTATAAATTTATTTGATGCTTGGGAGGAAAGATATTAGAAGGGAAGGGAAGAAGTCACTGTCGCTGCCCGTTTCAATGAAGTTATCTCCTCTGCCACATTCTGGTGACGTCAGTTCTCTGCCATGGTGGTATCCCATGTAAATGGCGACAGTTCATTCCCTTTGCCGGGTGACCAATGCAACAGGTGGGTCCTGACTGGCTCTCCCAAGCCCCGTCTCAATCCTTTGGCCACTGCCTATGAAGGCTCAGTTGGTATTAACCTCCGCAGGTTCAGAAGGGCCGACCAGTTGTTTCAGTGGGATCATTTAGCGCTGAGTCACAGCAGTTTGTCTGTGAGAAGCAGGTAAACGGGAGCTTGAATTCAGCCGATCCGAGCCCCTGTACTTCAGTGCTTTTCAAATGAGAGCAATGGTATCAGTGAACATTTTCCAGAAGTTACCACCATAGGTGTAGCCGATCTTCATTATTCCAATTCTGTATTTGCAAGTTTACTGCTTGCTAAAACTTAATTGTAGCCCCCAAATCAGTGCCCATGTGCACAGAGCCATCTGATAGCTATGCTCCCTACTGAGGCTGAATGAGGCTTCTGCCTTCCTTTTTGTTCTTACACTGTAAACAAGTGTCTGTTTCTCCACCTGTCTTCTTTAAAACATACTCCATACATCATGCTGAAGTACTCTTGTGCTCCTGAGGAAAGGAAGGCTTAGATAGCCTCACAGAGAATACACACATCACAGAATCTCCCTTCCCACACAAGCTGTGGCATTGCTGGCCCTGTTGCATGCTAACCAATTGGCAGCATGCATCAATTAAGGGGTCTCAAACAGAAACCACAAGGTGACATATTGGTGGGTGGCTGCAAGCAAGTGCAACTAGAGGCTGGCAGGCACCTGGCCCTGCTGCACCTAGGATCAGCACCCCAACATTCCCTAGCTGAGGGTTTGAGGTGACTTTACAGAACAGAACCGCCATGGATAACAAGAACTATTATGCAATTGACTACTGATATTTGGGCATCCTGATCCTGGCCAGGTGCTGGATCCCATGGACAGCAGCTCAGTGCTCACAGGGATGTGATGGAGCAGAACCATACTGAGTAAGGGTCAAGGGCTTCCCACATTATTCTTCATAACCCTCTGAGGTAACCCTGAAAATTACCCCCTGTTGTTGCTCAGAACATGAGTGTGGTTTCATGGGCTTAAGTGACTTACCCAAGGTAATCTCAGAACCAGTGACTGCTGGGTCCAGAAGTCCAGCCCTGGCAATCAGACCATGAAGCCCTTGATGGTCCCTGAGTGATACTGCCCACTCACCTTCCCTCTTTGCTGGGGCAGAGTTGTGGGTATTGGCAGACTAAGATAGTGGGTACACAGAGACCCTAATCTGATGCTCCCATGCAAATGACATGTGAACCCTTGGGGACATACTCAAGCCACAGCATCTGGTGTGCTTAGGATGTCTTCTATTGTGTTCTGTGCTTCTGAGGTAGATTTTTGCTTTGTGGTTTCCACAGCTTATATAAAAATCTTAGACTATTTTATGCAGAAAATAATTTAATCTCAATCATATACAACTCTGCTTTGACTAGCTACTTAAAACACACATTTTATGCTTTTGATGTCAGCATTTTCTTCACTTTGGACTATGTATCTTGACAATCTGTTTGCTGTGTAATTGTCTTAAATATTTTTCTCTCTTCACATACTGGAGAGAAATATTGACTCAGTATTACTTATAACATTTATGTCTGTGCTTTTAAATATTTTATGTTACTAATTAGTAATTTTGTCTGTTTCAACTTCACTCCCTTCAGCAGTTCCAGGGACAGACCTCCTGTTGGGGAACATGGCTTTTCTTTGGGAGAGTCATCACCTACTTCCTGTTCATTTCTGAAGGACAGTTTTGCTGGACAAAAGATACTTGGTTGGTGAGTTTTTCCTTTTTTCCCTTTAGCACACTGAATTTATCCTCCTGCTCTCACCTACAGGGCTTTTGTAGAACAAGTCCTTGAGTGCCACCTTGGGGCTCCTTTGTCTAGGATAAAGAGCTATGTTTTTAAAGCACCACAGTTTCTGTGCACTGCAGATAAGCATAGTCTCAAAGAGTGACAGGGAGGACTGTGTCATCTGCTGCACAAGTCTTGTGTGGAAGAGGGCAGTATGACTCAGCAGAGCTGAGTGAGGTGGTTGGGCTATTCCTTATACCTCAGCATGGAGACACGAAATGTGTTCTCTCTCTCTCTCTCTCTCTCTCTCTCTCTCTCTCTCTCTCTCTCATATTTTTTAATTGTTTTTGTTGCTCTGATAAAAGAGAGAGAAAACAATCTTAGTCTTGGATAAGCAAAAGAATAACAACAACAACAACAAAATGTAGTTGGAAGGAACCCTATGTGATGCCATTCCTCTAGCCAGTGTGAGACAGCCACAAATTTAATGGAATTAGGAACATTGCATTTGAGTCAACTTAAACTTGAAATAAATTTGTAGTGGGTATCCAAGAAAATTAAATCCCACAAGAATCTTCACACACAGTTGTCAGAGGAACCCATCATGGACCTCTGTGATGCTTCCTAAGACATTTGAAAGTGAAAAAAATGAGAAAAGGAATCTGCCTCTGCTTCCTGCTCCAAGACCTCATTTTATTTAAGAAACTACATCAAATTGTCCAGTCTGATTTTGTCAGTAGACAGGAATTTTAGGAAACACATAAAAAGAAATTCATTGTGATTCTGGTTAACTTTTAAGCACAGCACAAAAGCATGGTAACATAAAAAATGAAAAAAAAAATACCTTTTTAGAATATTAGAATATTTAATTTATTTAAGCCATGTGAGTGATATAATATCCAAAACAATAACAAAACTCAAAACATGGTTTTATCCTTTACCCACATGTGCCCCACTTCTTAATATAAGGGGTGAGAAAACTGGGAATCAGTCTGCAAACTGAAGGAATATTTTTGATTCTCTCTCACTTTCCATTTCCATCACAAACTGGGAAGAGGTATCAACTAGGCATCATCCAGAAATCCAAGGTCAGTTTAGAGCTGATCAAGAAAAAATGAGACAGAGGGTCCTGAGGGGCAGGCTGGTGGCCTGCAGTGGCTGAAGAAGCAAGAGCTGACCAAAGAAACTTGAGCAGGAAAAAGCCGAGACCACACTCCTCCTCTGCCTGCAGCTATGACCCTGGCTGCCACTCTCCAAGGCTTCCCCATCTTCAAGGCTTTCCCAGGCGTTAACTTCTCAGCCTCTTAAATTTGCAGGGCTCATTTGCTCCACATTCCAAATCACCTTTCTTTTTATTTGTTATCCTCTAATAATATTGTAAGTTTCCTTTTATTAAGTTTATTGTCTAGATTAGAGATCAGCAAAGTACAGCCCTCCAACAAAATCTGGCTCCCACCTGCTATTAATTAACATTAATATTAACATTACATTTTTCTAGAGCACAGCTAGGCCCATTTGTCTCTGGATGCAGGGGCTGTGGCTGCTTTGAAGCAGCAGCAGAATGGCTGAGGGGTTGTGGTAGAGATGCAGAGATCACAAAGCTAAGGATTTTCACTTTCTGGCCTTTGCAGAAGGTCTCCCTACATCTGGACAAGCTCCATAAGCACAGGACATGGGTTTGCTCAATTGTGTGTCCCAAGTGCTGACCAAATAGTTAAGGCAGGAATGGATCAGGCAGAAGTTTTTCTGTTTTGTAGCTTTAAAAGAAAGAGAGGCAGGAGAACCTGAGTCACCACATCCCATACCAGCATGGCACATGGAACACAGAAAATTTTGTGCACCTGCAGTTAAACCTTTATGTCTCTATTGATTAAGAAAACACCGGATGTTCATGAGGGTTTTTTCCATTCTTAAAGTTCAAGAACCACAGGAATAAGGGGTAAGTAGGGCAGGTTAATGAGGTTTTCTCTTGAGAACTGGGAAGCTGAATAAACCATCCAAGTCCACACTTCTCCTGGATTCCTCAGGAGTCTCAGTTCCAGTCCTTTCCCAGCGGTAGAGGTACACTTACAGATTTCTGTACCTTGGTTCACAGGTCATGTTTTCCAGGGGAAAGAGGCATCAGAACAGCCAGATCACTGTCCCCAGGCTTATGGGAGAAGGGGAGGAGCTGGTCACAATAGGCTCAAGTTTTGGTTACTCTGAACCCAAGCAAGGGAATATCCTGATTCCATTTTTGCTAGAGGACTGAAGATACCTCTTTAATTTCTCTCATATGATTTCTTCCTTATAGTCATCCTAAATAAGTCCCTATTATCTGAAGATTACTGCTTTTATAATCTATGAATTTTCATCTTAATGCATCCTGAAGAAGTTGTGAATCTGCAGGCAAGAGGATGAATCAGGAAGCAGAAGCAAGAAAAGCCATTTGAAAAGGAGCAAGAAATGAAAACCACAGTGATCCATGTTCTAGGGTTATGAAAGATGTGCTTAGCAAAAAATGACCTGACTTCTAAACATGAAGGATATTTTCTCTTCAGCAATCAATAGTAGCTCTTGGTACTTTGCCAAATATGGTTAGAAAAACATTTTGCCTTTGTTAAGCATTAACTTTGTGGGTTTTTTCCCCTTTTCTGAGATATCTGTAAAATTTTTCTTTCTTTTTTTCAAAATTAATTTTAGGGATGGGGTTACAGTGATTGAATGCTTGCTGGCCTTGCATGTGTGAGACCCTGGGTTTGATCCTCAGCACCACAAAAAAAAGAAAAAAAATATTAAATTTTACTATTGTTACAGGAATCCATTCTTCTTATTGCAGATTAGATCATCACAATATATGTTATTCAGCATTTCCAAATTCCTCCCTCCAACATCCCCCATTATTACCATTACTATGTATCTTGAATGTTTTTACCCACCTTACAATACTTTTATAACCACATGGACATACATATAGAAAATACTTTGCATTATTCCATGTTTCATCACACAGAGCAATAATAATTCATACTACTTGCTTCATTCTGCACCTTGTTTTTCTGAAGAAGGATTTTTGAGATAGATTCATTTTGTAAAGCAGATAGAAAGGAGATGAAAAGATAGACTTTATTCAATCTTTTTGAAGCTGGTAAGTTCCCCTCCTAAGCAACTGCTACTTGTTGTCCCATCATTCTTCCCCTGATGGGCCCTTGGACTTAGGGCTCCTTGCTGTTGTAATATAGAGCATTCTTACTTGTCATATGTATGTGAGTCCCACATGCATTCCTCTAGGACAGACATTTATAATTTGCACTGCTCGGGCCTGGGGAAGTAAGGTCATGGTGGGTTTGGCTTTATGAACTGCCCTGTCCTGGAGCCCAGTCCCTCATCACATCAGCAGTGTGCACGAGTGCTGACCCTTGGTGGCACCTTGGATTCTTCAATAGCACCTGCCTTGACAGCATGAGGCCTGTGCAATCCTACCTCACTGGGGCTGGGGTAGGGGGGCACCCAAGGCCTTGTGAGGTGGATTTCACTCAGCTGAATGGCTGTTCTGATTTTCCTTTTTACCTACTGAAGGCTCACCATTCTAATTTTCCATTTCTTGGTCTTTTTACTGTTGTTGTAGGAATTCTTTGTGTACAATCCTCCCAGTTAGGGCTGGATTCCTGCAAATCCAAACTAGCTGGTATGGTTATATTTAACTATATATTCTCTTTTGTGCATTTTGCTTTTGTATGAGTCTGTTTAAAAAGGTGGCCCTCCTCCATGCTTAGCAGATACACATCACATGCTTTTCCAATAAACATACCATTTCTTCTTTTTTTTGGGGCCACTAGTTCACTGGACTGTGGGTTTTGGAACAAGCAAAGGCTCACCCCTCAGGCAAGCCTATCTATGGAAGCATTTAATCTTTCTCAACGATGTGAAAGGCTGGCAATCACATTTTGTACTATTGTATCTGATGGCATAAAATCATAAGATCTGCTCTTCAGTGACTTTGTAAAAGTAGCACAAACCCCCAGCCTGCCTGTGGACTTGATGCTACTCTCCATGACCCTTGGAAGCCCAAGTAGATTAAATGGCACACATTACCATATGTCACCTGTCTCTTTTCCATTTCCTACAAATATCTCCTTGGTAAAAATGGAGATTCACCATATCTCATTTTCCAATCTCACTCTTACAATAAGAGGAATCATGACTCCCTGGTGTGACAGCTGACTGTGTGGAGGGGGCAGAAAACAAACAAGGTGTACCCAGAGCCTCTGGTGGAGCCAGAAATTGGGAAGCACTAAAAGAAAACCCCAAGAACACATAAGTCTATAAAGTGATGGAAGGTATCAAAGGACACAGAAGCACCTTAAAAAATACCTGGGGACAAAACTGGAGCAAATAAGCAAGGTGACACAAGGTGTGGGTCAATAATATCCAGGTCAATATGCACTCCAAGACAAATATCCAGGAGTCATATGACATAAGCAGGCAGGTGGGGCACGTAGAGGGTCCACTCTCCAGAAAGCAATCTGAGGGCGGACCAGCAGACAGTCCATACTCAAGGAGGAGGCTTTATCTCTGCTTCTTGCTCCTCCAGGTTGGGCCCTGAATGGCACCTACTCTAATGTTCACAATATGAAAGGGGAAAGGGTGAAGGAGGTCCTGCAGAAGGCACTGACTAGATTGAGCTCCTATCCCAGGCCTGATGGACCACATGGTTAAGATGTCAGTCAGAGGAGGTGCTAACAGAGGAGGAACCTGTCCCAACCCCCTGCTCTAGTTTCCACACACCCTGCCCAATCACACTGCTGGCTGGACCTCTTCTGTTTCCTGAGGATGCCTGATTTGTAATAATTTTTGTTTTGCTCAAATAAACTCAGTTTAAGCTTGTCCTGGGGTTTTTCCTTTTAACAAGAGTCACCCATGTCTTGGAGAACCCTGATTCATGCTGCCTTAGCCAGTGACAGTGGCTGACAGCAGCAATGTAGTCAAGGTGGTGACAGGCAGCCTCAAAAGCAGCGCATGAAAAGGGCCTCTGCAATCTTTTGCCCTAAACACCAACAGGAATGTGGTCAAGAGGAAACCACCAGGCAAATCCCATCTGAGGGATAGTCTAGAACATGCCTGATCAGCATTCCTTAAAATCATCCAGGTCATCAAAAACTAGGAAAGGCCAGGACACAGTGGAGCTGGCCTATAATCCCAGCTACCAGGAGGATCAGGCAGGAGGATTACAATTTCCTGGCCAGCCTCAGGAACTTGTTGAGATCCTGTCTCAAAATAAAAACCAGAAAGGGCTTGGGATGTAACTTGAAGCTAGAGCACCCAGAGCTTCAATTCCCAGGAAGAAACCAAAACAAAAACTAACAAAACACAAAAACTGAGAAATGTCCACAGTCTCAAGGGGCATAAGGAGGTAGGCTGGATCCTGGAGAGAGTCCTGGGACACAGACAAACCTAAGGTAAGCAATGAGGCCTGGATTAATCAAGCACTACCTGGATACTAATGCTTCCACATGGGTTCAGCATTGTGAAAAATGTACCCACACATGTATGATGGGAACCTGGTGTTTGGGATATGGAAACTCTCTGTACTGTGTGGAAACCCCCCAAAATATTGTCAAGTTAAAAAGCTTCCTTAAGAAAAATGAAAAGGTGCAGGACTGTATCCTCATGCCATTAACAACTCAAGAGCCAGCCTGGAAGCTGCATGCAAGGAGCTCAGCTGGCCCTGGGCACAGGCTGGCCCCCTGCAGGCCAGAGGTGAGGGCTCCCAATAGCTTGGAAAAGGGAAGACTCTCCCTGCTATTCCCAAGTCTGAAGCACCAGGAGGGCGCGATGAGGACAGCCAGCCAAGAAGATGCTGGTACATAAAAACCAAAAGAGGACACCATCTGTGCTCACTTCCCAATGATGAGGAAGAAACAGGAGAGTAACTCAAGAGACTGAAAGGTGCAGAGCACTGTGTAGATTATGCTGTCCTGCTGTGTGCTGCCATCTTCCATGCTGGACTCTTCCAATACACTAATTGGGGAAAGATTCTCTAGCTTTAGTACCTAGAAACAGTTGGGTCCCAACTGTAAGACTCTCACCACAGTCTCAGTTTACAACCCAAGAACTTCTGCTACCCTAGTCTTCTCAAGTTTAAAATGGGAGTAACATCCCAAAACCCCACCTGTTATGAAGTCCAGAGTGAATAACTAGGCAAAATACTTGGAGTCTTACAAAAGCACAATACAAATGAAAAGTTCCATCACCATGGCTGGTAACAGTGACAACGCAGACATGCACTCAATACTGGAAATTCAATATCTGATACTTATCTAAGGACCAGATGAACAGCAAGTGCTATTGCCTCATTCACACTTTCCAGAACATATTCACTGAGTGTTACTTGTTTATCAAGGGCTGTTTAAAGGGACAGATACAACATTGCCTACTGGCTTCCCCTGTTAAAGAGAAATGTCCACATGCTAATATAAGGTCTTGATACATCAGAAAGCATGATAGCATAACCAAATATGCAAGTACTCTGAGGTTTGCTGGTAGTCTGGTAGTCTCCCTGCTGCTCCTCTTGGCTCATTACAGGTACCATGTGTCAGAAGAAACAACTTTCACCATGGTTTGCTGCGTGGCCATAGAGAGCATGGGGCCAGCCCTCTCTGATCTTGGCTCTATTCCATTTGCCAGTTTCTATAAGGATGCTATTTGCTTTATTCTCCTGCTGAAGCCCCATTCCTTCTCTTTGTCTCATCATAAATTAAAGTATAAACCCCCAGGGGAATGACACTGTCAAACAGTAGCACTAATCCTTCCTTGATGTGAAAACAGCAATGGCAACCATAGGAAGGAGATCTCACCATGAATAAAAACATTACCTACCCCAGGAGCTCCACACCCCACCTGGCCAATTCCCTGCATCTCTGACAAAGGCCCCACTGCAGTCTCATCCACAAGCTTGATAATGTGCTAATTTGATTTTCCACTGCAGAAGCAAAACAATTTCTATTTGTAGTCAATTTAGACCCTTCTTAGCTTCTGTTCCATTACAACTTTTGGTCACAGAGCAGCACTCAACACTTGCTTTTGTAGTTTAATCCAGAAATCAACAGCACTCCTTGTATACAGCGATGGCTTCACAAACCCTCTCTTGTGTTGTGGTGGGTGTCAGCAAGTCTTTCTTGCTGACAGGGAGAGGAAGACACTGACTGACTGGATGCACCCAGGTCCAAGGAAGTGTGTTTTAACCTCCAGCTGGGCTTTGAGAAGCAGCTCCTATGACCTGCTGAATCAAATAGAGAGCCAGCAAGCAGCCAGACTCAGAGCACACATCCTGAAACCTTTCAAAAAGGTCAAAAAGGAGTGAGCTGCTCGGACAACCATTCAGGATGCTAAAACATCTGGCACTCTCAGCCAGTGGCAGAAGGACCCAGGCTGGAAAACCAGCAATGACCCCAACATGTGTCTCAGGAATACAGCTGGGATGGGGGTGCCCTGGCTGCAACAGTCCATGTTGTCCTCCCCAGACTCAAGAGCAGACTCCCCATGTCTCCCCTGCCCACTACACAGTAATGACTGAGTGCTGAGAAGACTGACAGCTGCTATCTTTGATGATCACTCACTGAAGGGCCTTGCAGAGCTGTCTTGTCTCATCCACAGTCCTATCAAGAGGCACCATAGGCTTTGCTACGGAGGTGAAGAAACCCAGCACTCAGTAGGCTGCTTGGATTCCTTGCTAAATATTTGCTAAAATACTCATTATTGCTAAGTATCAGTATGATAATTTAAGGACACAAAAACAACAACAGAAACTATTTTTTACTATCAGAAGACATCATCTGCTCTTTACATTCTGCCACATAACTATTTAAATTTAAATTAATTAAAATTAAATAAAATTTAAAATTCAGTTTCTCCAAAGAATCAGCCACACTTACACAATCCCCCAGATGGACAGTGCAGGTCAAGGACCCCTCCATCACTGCACAGTCCCCTGTAACCAACCGTGAGCTCCTGGGGAAAATTCACTCCTAAATTGAAATCACTGCCCTAGTCAGGTGCAGCCTGTCCTTGAACAGGCTGCCATACCACCCAGCTGCACCTCCAGCATTCAGCTGACTGTGTGCTGCAAGGGGTGCAAGCTCATTAAGTGCTGGAATGCAGAGGAAACTCAAATAGGGTTTCTGCCCCAAAGGAGTTTACAGTCTAAGAGAAAGAAGAACCATATTAACATAATTACATCATGTTGTACTGTAACACATACGATGAAGCACGAACCAAACAGATAGGGTAGAGGAAGCTACCCATGTTGGAGAAGGATGACTCCAGTGTGGACTTGGGACCATGCCACAGGGGCAGCTGAAGCCAGAACTACATATTACATGTACAGCGCAGCACAGCACAGCACAGAACAGTACAACAGAGGGGTTGCAAAATCAGACACTGAGGGAAAAAGTAAACTGTGAAACATTGTTTACAGCATGAGACATCAAAATATAAATACTGTGTGTTGTTTGCATGCTATTTATGGATGCATATGTCTATTGAGAAGGCATTGGTTTTTAAATTAAACTGCACATACACATCAGTGTGTTCATTAACACTTGGAATATTGTATTTCTCAAAACGAAAGAAAGAAATAAAGGAACATACAGAAATGGAAGAAAAAAAGGATCAGTTTTATGGTGCAAAGTAGAATGAGGCCTCCTCAGGTAAAGAAGGAGGAACTGGATCTGGAGGGTGGGACGATCAAAAAGAAGAAGGGAGGAACTGAAGACAACATTTGCCCAACATAAAAATGACATCAGAAAAGTTGCCCCTTGTCATTAACCATCAAAGACATGCAAATCATCCCACAAGAGAGAATGCCTCCTGTCTCTTAGGATGGCTTCTATCAGAGTGCAGAGGGAAGAAAATCCTGCCTCGGTAGCTGGTGGGGGAACAGGGCAAATGGCATGAGTCTCAAAATGTCAAACAGAACTACCAGATGACCCAGCAAGCATTATTCCAGGCTTGTATCCACAAAAAGGGAAACCAGGACCTCATAAGACACCACACCTCATGTCAGTGCAGCAGTAATTACAGGACCCTGAGCACCTGGCC